CTGACGGAACATAATTCGAACCCGTAGATTGGGAGTTAGAGCCGAATACGCCCAAAACTTAATCGAAAATGGTGTTTTGGGAGCGAAAATTCAAAACAGCCCCCGAATCATCATGTGCCTCTCACGGGCAGTTTCTCCATGACAAATATGACTTTTCACAACTGACAGAACATCATTCAGACCCGTAGGTTGGGATTTGGAGCCGAATACGCCCAAAACTTAATCGAAAAATGGCGTTTCGAGAGCGAAAATTCAAAACAGGCCCCGAACCACTGTGTGACTCTCACGGGCAGCTTTCTCATGACAAATATGACTTGTGACAACTGACAGAATGTAATTCGGACCCGTAGGTTGGGAGTTGGAGCCAAATACGACCGAAACTTAGTCGAAAAATGACTTTTCGGGGGCAAAAATTGAAAACAACCCCCGAACCACCGAGTGGCTCTCACGGGCAGCTTCCCCATGACAAATAGGACATGTGACAACTGATGAAATATCATTCGGATCCGTAGGTTAGGATTTGGAGCCGAATACGCCCAAAACTTAGTCGAAAAAGGGCGTTTCGGGGACGAAAATTCAAAACAACTCCCGAACCACCGTATGCCTCTCACAGGCAGCTTCCTCATGATGAATGACTTGTGACCACTGACGGAATGTAATTTGGACCCGTAGGTTGCGAGTTAGAGCCGAATATGCCCGAAACTTAGTCGAAAAAGGGCTTTTCGAGAGCGCAAATTGAAAATAACCCCCAAACGGCCGTGTCGCTCTCACGGAAAGTATCTTGAATGAAATGGCACTGAAAGACATTACTAAGTAGGGATAGTTTTATATCCAATCTAATGATTCAAGTGCCTTTTGCAAATAATTAATGAGGAAATTAGTAAAAAGAATACTTTTATTCACATTGGGCTTTGATATTGGTTTAGCCACAGAATTTGGATAGATGTTGCATACAAATAGAAGATTGTTACATTAGCTTCATGTTAGTAATGACAAATTTAGTAATGCTTGCTCTGCATTTAACAATGTTCCTTATAACAAAAGATTTTAGAAAGACTGATAATTGATTCATCATGGAAGGTTGCTTTTTTGATATGTTATGTGTCACTTGTTGCCAAATTCATTCATGAAATTAGGCATTTTTTGGTCTAATTCTAATTTTTTTTGTTTTTTTGTAGATGACTTTGTTACGTGGACTTGTTGAGAAGAAAGTTCACTTTTGTATAGAACTAATATAATACTTTTGTCGTCTCCGACTTTTGTGCAGTTCACTATTACTAATACAGAAAACTTTTGGCAGCCAACAGATAATTACTGGCATAGTACATAGATCACCTTCTGTCGTCGTACAAATATATGAGTTTTTTTCGTGGTATATAGATGTACTTTTGTCTTCGTACATACATCACATTTTGTTGTGGTACAGATAACGATGGTAATTTGTACCATGTCAAATGGTCATTTTACATTGTAGTAAATGTAATTTTTGAATACGGAGGGCTTTGATTTTTGTATGATTCTATATTTTATATAGAATTATTATTTTAGTTTGGACAATAGTTGGTTTGTATGGACTTTAACAGTTAAAGTTATTTATTTTTTGTATACGGATACAGCTTGTGGCATGATTGATAGTATATGTATCATTTTATTTATATACGTATAACAGGTTGCATGGAATATAGACAGGTTATGGAGAAATTATAATATTTGCAATAAAACATAATATCATGTTTTTGGCCACTAAAAGTTTTGTAGCTAAAAGAAAATCAAACATTTAGCGACTAAAAGTTTTGTAACCAAAAGAAAATTAAACATTTGCCAACTAAGATATTTCGTAGCTAAAAACAAATAACAAAACTTTTGCCGACTAAAAATTTAGTAGTCAAAAATGTGGGACTTTAAGCGACTAAATCTTTAGTAGCCAAAACAAAAACTATTTCCCGACTAAAATTTTAGTAGCAAAAAATGTAGCACTTTAGGCGACTAAATCTTTAGTAGCCAAAAAAATTTGACTTTAGGCGACCAAAATTTTAATAGCCAAAACACTAGTATTTACTTTAGGCAACCAATATATTTAGTGGGTAAAAACTTTTTTCGCAACTAAAACTAAAATAATTTTAGTCGCCAATTAGCTTTCCCGACTACTCTTTGGCTACTAATTTTGCGACCAATAAATTTAGTCGCTAAAGCCCTTCGGCGACTAAAAATTGACTTTTGGCGACTAAAAATTTAGTCGCCAAAAGTGATTTTTTTTGTAGTGTTAATTTATGCATCTTTTATTAAATTATAAAATAAAATTTTAAACTTAAATTCTTTTTAAAATTATGTTACTACAATTAGAATGAGATCAATATTCACATGTGTCATAATGATGTGTCATAATTTTATTGGTCTAAACATAATATGCTATTAAATACACGTATTCAAATTTTTAATTACTGTTAAAAGTTTATAATTTTATTTTTTGTCATTTTTGGTTTTAAATATTATATATATATATATATATATCCTTCTAAGCTACAACGACTTCAGCAATAAAATTTTTTAATACAAATATTTTTTTAAACAAAAGACAAAAAAAAATTAAGAAAATAAATGATTTTTTTAACAATTTCCAAACATAACGGATTCTATTATTTATTTATTTTTTTATCTCAATTGTGAAATAAACAAATTAAAATAAAAAAACAAAAATTTTTGCCTTAAATAGTTAAGAAGTGACTTTTGCTAAAATTAAAAAGAAATAAATATTTTTTTTCTATTAAAAGTGATAGTTTGTGAAAAAAAAAATTTTTTACATAATAAAAAAAAAAGGTGTTACACGTGATAATTTATTATTTTAGTAATGTTACATACCTCCACTTTCATCTACAATGATGTGGCAAGGGATTTGGGCCCTATGTCATTGAGTGTATAACAAATTAAGAGTTGACACATATCATACCATATTATTGTAAATACAGTTGTGATTGTTTTTTTGTAAGTCTCAAACATTTTCTTTATTATTCATTTAGACTTTTTTAGCACTTGTGAAATACGATAGATTCTGTTATTTTTTTTTTAATCTCAATTGTCAATTAAACAAACTAAAATAAAAAAACTTTGGCTCAAATTGCTAAAAAGTGACTTTTGCTAAAACAAATAAAAATAAATGTTATTTTTCTAACAAAAGTGATAGTTCATGAAACATTTTTTTTATTTAAAAAAAAATAGGGTTATAGGTGATAATTTATTAGTCATCTAAAATTATTTTCAGATCAAATAAAAATACCATTCTAAATTTTCTTCTTACCTTTTTTTTTATCCACATACTTTTATTTTGTAAGAAATTGAATTTTATTATATTTAAATATTTTATTGTAATTTTTAAATTAAAAATAAATTTTGAAAAATCATATTTAAATTATTTTATATCATTATAAAATGTAATTTTTTTTAATATCAACTTGTTCGATGATCCCTTTCTAAAAGGTGTCTTTGCTTTTGTTCATTAATATTAAATGTTTAATTAATCTTATTTATTATTAAAAATTAAATTAGCAAATAATTTTATATATTTATATATATAATTTTGTTTCGATTACTCAAGTTATTTGGTATTTCTGCCCAAATTTATTCAAATTTATTCAAATTTTTAAATTTTACATAGATTCTCACCAAATTAAAAATTATATTGCCCAATCTTAAAAAATTTACTAGCTTGACTCAAGTTGTTTGGATTTAACTCGCGCAAATTTACAACTCTAGCAAGAGAATTGAAAGTTACATGAATGAAATTGTGACAACTTAAAAATTAATATACAAATTGTGATAAAATTATAAAACTTAAATTATAGGTTTCAATGTTTTTCTGTTTTCATAATTTACATACTAAAATCTAACTATTTATATTATTTTATATAAACATGTTTTTTATTAATTTTTGCACATCATGTGCACAACACAGATTTTCACTAGTTAAGCTCACAATTCAAATTTCCCTTAATTAGAGCATCTACACCAACCTATTCAAATTTTTAGTCAAATTAAACCAACCCTAAAGCTATTTTGTTATTTTAGCTAGTCACCTTCTAACACCACCAACCTATTCAAATTTTTAGTCAAATTAAACCAACCCTAAAGCTATTTTGTTATTTTAGCTAGTCACCTTCTAACACCTATTGCATCAAACTCTTTATTCTAACTTATTCTTATTAAATATTATTTTCTTATTATGTTAATCTTTATTTTTTTATTAAATTGATAACTTACTAGCCAAACACTTCTTTAAAAAAAACGACAACAAAAAATTGTCATTTACCAATTGACTGGCCAGACATCCGGCCGAACTTCCGAATGAACATCCGATAACACTAATCTAGCGATAAACAATGCATCGCTGCTTGTAGCAAGATACTATAACAAACATAAATTTTGACGAGCTGAAAATGAATTTGATAGAGTTGATTTTTTTAAATTTATTAGCTAAAAAATGATTTTGAAAAACTTGATGAGGATGCGCTTAGTACCCTCATAACTGATGTCGAATAACTGATGTCGAATAGTGTTTGATGAACCGTTATGAACTTAGGGTTAAAAGGGAAATCTAATTACAGCCACAGATCACTGTTCTTTAATTTATCTGTGCTTCTGTCATACACTCTCAAAGGGCACCACAATAATGTAGTGAAAATTTCAAGACAAATTTTCTAATATAATCATTACAATAGACAAGGAGATTATAGACAGCCAGGATCCCTGCCTCTTTTGCAATGCCCCAAGTTGCAACCCCCTCTTGCCGTCGCAAAAAGTTATTTGCCATCACAAAATATTTTTTGTAACGGCATTAAAAGTATTAGCGACGGCATTTTTCCGTCGCAAAAAGCTAAAATTTTAGGAGTGTACTTTTAAGACTGTCTTCCCCTTCCTCACCTTGCAAAAAATTCAGAGGGAAGAAATGCGTCCACCACCCCAAGTAAAGGCCAAAATGTCTTCCCTACTAATACAAAGTCCATGGATAATGTGTTACGGTTTCATTGAACAAAATCCATTAGTTGAATGATTGAAAGAAAAAGTTTGCAGCAGCTTCAAAATCAATACAAAAGCTAATCTCTGCTGCCTGTCATTTTTTACGTCAATAAAAACTAAAGGATTCAGACACATTTTACAATCTGTATAATCCAAACTGAGAAATCAAAAGAAAACCTACAATTGAGACAATAAACAGAAAAATGTCCAAAACATTTAGAGCTTACTCTTTTGGATCAACTTTCAACTTGATGGTGGCGGTGGTGGAGGAGCATTGAGAGGGGGAGGTGGTGGCATTGACATCTGTGGCATAAAATGGGGCCTCCCAGCCAGCTGCTGTGGCGGTGGTGGAGGTCGCCAAACAGGTGGAGGGGCTGCCATTCCAGTTGGAGGTGGAGGTTGCCTCGCAAATGCCGGAGCTGCTTGTGGAGGTGGTGGTGGCATGTTCGGCGGTGGTGGCCTAAACTGCTGAAGAGGCGGTGGTGGCATATGTTGACCTGGTTGCTGTGGCTGCCCTTGCCAAGATGGTGGTCCAGGCATTGGCATGGGTGGGAAAACACCACCCTGTGGGGGGGCCCGAAGTGGTGTAATTGGTGGTGGAGGAACAGTGCCGTTAGCAAATGGGCGCATAGGAATTGGAGTGCCCATGGTACCGTTGGCCTGAGGAGCATTCGGAAGCGTAGGAGGCCCACTTGCAAACAAGGTGTGCGGCCTACTTCTCTGGGTACCGGGATTGCTGGCAGCCAACACTCTCTCTGCATTGAAATGGAATAGAACTCAGAATTTTGTGTATGATGCCACAATATCAAGTTTATTGATCATAACAAATGCAAAAACCCCTCACTAACAAAACTTCAACCCTGATGTGCCCTATGTGCTTACGATGGGCAACACTGGTATTGTATGGGTGTGCATGCAGAAACCTAGCAACGAGAAAAGTCTCTCTCACCTGCTGGGGTACCATGACGCTCCCCTTTCGTGTCTTTCTTGTATGCATAGGATACTGTTATCTGTCGGTTGCAGAGATATTGGCCATTCATTGCCTGAGAAAGTAGAGGATTATTAATTCTTGAATCAACTCTAATTTAATCAGATTAAAGAGTTCATTAAATTCCCCCAGACATTGAATACTATTTAACAGCAATGAATGGAACAGTAGATAAAGCCATCATCGAGTAGTGATCTCTGAAATCATCTGATTATTAGGATTTGCCATGTTAGTAATTTTCCGCATCCCTTTTGTGCACCTACCAATCCACAACAATATATTAACTGATTCACATGCCTTTATGTATATAGTCCAAGAAAAAATTGTGATTAGACTAATTATTTCGCTGTCCATATCTATAACTACAATTAAAAAATGTGAAAGATGAAACTCCACACATATCATGTATATAATGCATTTTACTGTTGTTTTTTTATTGCCTTTTTTGTCCTCAAATCTTTTATTTATTATGTTCTTTTCCTATAGTAGAAGTGTCCGTCTTATAAATGTTTTACTATGAAGCACGGATACTTCAAAAAAGGTGACGTATCCGTATCAGATACTTATCGGATACCGATACTCCTCGGATACTCGCGGATACGTATTGGATACTTCTTAAAAGTATCGGATACTTCTTAATTAATTTTTTATTAATTTTGAAGTATCGGATACTTAATTTTGAAGTATCGGATACTCGAAGTTACATATTACTTATAATATTTTATTAAGTTCTTTCATAAGAGGAATATAGTGAGAGTTAAAGTAATAGAATTTGTCAAATTGATGTATCCTTGTTGTCTCTCTCTCACTTCTCTCTCGCTTTCTCACTCTCTCACGTTTCTTCTCTCTGCTCTCATTCTTTTTTTGGTGTTGGCATGTAAGGATGATGTTTAATTTACATTTGCATTTGCTTTTGCTTTTAGTTTTGGATGTTTTATGAATGTTTGAGCACTTTTAGGTTAATAGGAATCCCTCTCTTTATTTATTAATTTACTTTAAGTTTTATTTTCATGCATATTACATTATTAAAATTATAAAAAAAAAAAATTATGAATGTATCCCCGCTGTATCCGTATCATACTTTTTCAAATTTTGACATATCGCCATATCCACATCCCCATATCACCATATTCGTATCCGTACTTCCTAGGCTATCATTGATGACTTAAAAAAGTATATTTGCTGAAATTTTTATTTAAGAATAATTTTTTGGCTTTGGCTTTAGCTTTAGCTAAGGTCTTGTGATATTCACTGATGAAGGGGAACAAGTTGAAGCTATTAACCTTGAAGACTCTTAGTTTTGTAGGAATCTTTCTTCTTTATCAAATTGTCTTTTGCTTTAAGTTTTATTTTTATGCATACTGCATTACTAAAAATTGTTAAAATAATATTTTTTACGAACGTATCCCCGCCGTACCCGTATCCTAATTTTTCAAATTTTGTCATATCGCCGTATCGTATCGTATCCGTATCCCGTATCCGTGCTTCCTTGATGTTTTAAGACTCATTAGGAGCATGTGAGTTGCATTCCCAAGAAAGTTAGACCTTGCTCCTGGTATATAGGTCATGTTGGAAATGTTCAAGAAGTGATGTTGAAGTGTCCAAAATTATAAAAAAAAAATTATTTTCAAATTAGAAAATGTCCATGTGTCTTAACAAGTTTCTAGAATGTTTGTGAAATGCATTTAACACGAACAAGGCTTCTCCCTAAAAGTGCCTGCATTACTTGGATTATTGGAAACAGTATAGTTTGAGCTAGTGAACAGTTAAACTTCAAACAGTGTTTCTTCTAATAAGCTATGAAGGTGGGACCTTTTTTGAAGTACGACAATTATAGGAAAGTGGCTGGCAATCTCGCACAGTTTTTCTAAAACATTGCTATTATTAAATACAATTCTGTACAGTGTAAGCAATCTCAAAATTCCAAACCCAAAATTGAACAAAAACAGAAAAATTGTAAGTCACAGCCCGAGATTCAATATCAATATGAGAGTTGTCAAAGAGTCTTAACATTATTTAGAATCAAGTTCTTTGCCAAATGCCAAGTACAAGAAAAAGTAGACTGTTTAACTAGTATCAAATTTGAAAAAGGGTTCTGAATTACAAACAAGTCATTAATCTCCAATTTTTATTTTTATTTTTTTTGATAAAAAAACAAACTTTATTGAAAAAGCAACAAGACGATGAAAAGAATACAAAAACAAACCTAAAAGCTAGCAGCAAACATAAACCAAAACAGTACTAAACAGCAAGACAAAGAGCAAACAAATCAGCTACTGAATCAAGTCCTCTACAAAATATGCAGATATGAAGTTAACAACAAAAGTCAAATACCTCTATTGCTGCATCGGATGCATCGAAAGAATCATAGCTAATAAAACCAAAACCACGGGAATTCCCTGTCTCAGGATCTCTCATTATCTGGGGGAAAGGCAGGGGAAATCAGAATCAAAAGCAAATAAACACCATACAAAAAAAAAAAAGCACTGTAACAATGTTTTCCCTATTCATTCATAGATGATACAAATAGTTGAACACACCACTAGTGCCAAGCCCAAGGCAGGCAAGGACTTGTGTCAAACACTTGTTCAAGTTCATGCAACTCCTCGCACAAATTAAACCGGGTTTGCATCTGGACCAACTCTGCCCCCCGCCTAGAACCCTATAGTCAGGACCAACAGGCATTATTTGGCTGTCTCCTTTCCACATATACACTAGCATTCCAAAGCAAATAAACAAGCTAAATCCAGATTTCTGATGAATGTCAGAATTAATAGAGCACCTTAGTTGCACAAAGCGTGAGCAGTAGCGGGGAATTGTAGACATTCCAAGAATCATTGGTAGGGAGCGTTTGTAAATATATTAAATAATACAATATATAAAAATATATTGTGAGATTATATTTTTTTTTTCTTTACCGATAAAAAAAATATATGTTACAAATGGAACTATATATGTTATAAAAAAAAAAGAAGTATAAAAAATCATATGTTAAAATATTATAATTATATACTTTTATTAGATTTTTTTCATTTATTCTAAAATATTTTTTTTATTTTTTTTATCTATTTATTTTAAAATATTTTAGTTAAAAATTATTTGTTTTATTTATTTTCTTACAAAAATAAAATAAAAGAAGAGAGAGGGAGAGGAGAAGAAAAAGACAGATGAATGGAATAGAAGAAGAAGAGGAAAGAGAGAGAGAAGAAGATGGAGAGAAGACGAGGAGGAGGAGGAGGAGATCGATCTCGAGGGGAGAAAAGATCGAGAGAGAGAGAGAGAGAGAGAGAGAGAGTAGGAGACGAGATCGACCGAGAGAAACGATGAGATAAGCGAGAGAGAGAGAGAGAGAGAGATGATGAGAGAGAGACAGAGAAAGAGGGAGATGACGAGATCGAGAGAGAGATGGAGAGACGACAAGATCAAGAGAAGACAGAGACGATCGACAGAGAAATTAAGGTCGAGAGTGAGGATGACAGATCTAGACAAGTTCCTTCTCTTCTCAGATTCGCGTTTCTCTAGCTTTAGACTTGAAAGAATCGCACTTCTTTGACTGATTTGTGAGCAACTTCAGCGATTCTTGCTACTAAGTGGAGCACTCCTGAGAAGAAATTCAAGTCATGCATTGACATTGTTGACTTCTTGTAAATGAATGAATCCGAAACCAATTAGTAATGATGTAGGCGCATACTCTCTTTAGTGTGTGTGTGTGTGTGCGCGCCCCTATGAATTTGGATGCAACTGACAAGAATTTTCCTCCTATTGTCTTCTTCTTGTTTCTCTTAACGTTCAAGTTCTCAACTGTCTAATATACCTACGCTACCCATAACCCCCAATCCAACAGAAAATGGTAAAGACCAATCCTATCCACATATTATCTCAAACCACATTGTCAGTCCATACCAAAAAAATTGGAACATTGTCAATTTGTTCATGCCCTAGTCAAAGAACCTATGACAAGAAAGCACACATGGGCAAAACAAAGAAAAATCTCTATAATGTAAACTGAGTTTCATAACCAAAGGACTAAAAATAATAATATGCACGAATGAAAACGCAGTGATAAGATTTTAAGGATGGAAGACCGGTGCATGTCCTCAGTTCTGTTATATATATCAATAAGAAACAAACAACACAACTATACGGGAGCAAGAGAGAAGAAGTTTGACCTTGGGATTTGTAACAATGACTCCAAATGCACTGAAAGTATCATACAAAAGTTTCTCATCCACATCCTGCAAAGAAAATCAAAGCCAGGTTTGAAATTGAAAAACTGTGTCATAGGCATATACGAGTTTACAAGGCATGAAAATACATTCAAGTGCATCAAATTTCTTACAGGATCAAGGTTTCCCACAAAAAGGTTAGCTCCAACATCCAAGCTCTTTTTATCTTGAGACGCCTGGAACCCAAAAACAAGAAGATAAAACTATTGATCAGATTTTACATCTACTTCAAACAAGGCTCTGAAAATCAAACCATGAAATCATTAATGATGGCTCCTGTGGCAATATCCTAAGCGTAAGCATAAAGAAATAGAAAATGATGCATGACAAGGATAAACATTCACACCTTATTCACTCTTATTGGCTTCCCATAAAGTTTAATCATATTCAGAACTTTTATTGCCTGCATTGTGGATTTAAAAAATAATAGATAAATAAAATTATAAAAAAGAACTGATCATACAGCCACCAGCAAGTAAGGAAAGCAAAACTCAAGAGAACAGTAAAATAAATACAAAGAGCATAACTGATGAACAATAAAGAAAGTACAAAAAGCATAACCAATGACACAAGCAATGAAGCATAGCTTACATAATCTGCATCGTCCTCGCTTCGGAATTCCACAAAGCCATATCCTTGATGAAGATTGGTGACTCTATCTTTGGGAACATACACATTTACTGAAATGGAAAGGGAAAAATACCACAATTAGGCGTCCCTGAAATTTCTAGAAGGAGCTCATATATGGTAACTCTTAAATAGTGAATACCAGACCAAGTCTAACCTATAAAACAGAAAAGAGAGATTGAATAAACTTTTAAAGCAATACAAATAAATTATTGTTTATAAGAACATTTTTTCAAAGGGAAACAAACCAGCACATTCAGCCCAATTCTTTTCGCAGATCTTTAAACCCAAATTCAGATTTCAGAACAATGAAAATATAAATTATGCCTCTCCTTCCAAATACTAGAATGATTATACAAAGATGCTCTAAGCGTTTATTTTACATTTTGACTTCACTACAAGAGCATAACTTTTGTTTTGCAAGTTTCATCCTTCTGTTTTAGTATTCAAGGATGGTACTGATTTTCAGAACTATCTAAAGACATAAAGAGAGATATCAATGCAGCACACCAAGAATGTAGAACTCAGAAGTTAGAACAACTTAAGTCCATAGTTTTATCCATAAATATGACAAAAAATGACCAAACCAAAACAGACTTCAGCTCCAAAACTACAGTATAACCTTGAAACATAATCTTCACCGAGGGAGACCAGCAAGTATTTGAATGGGCTACCTTATGTATTTAAAACAATGATGAAAGATATGTTAGAATTTACCATAAACCTACCACCACTACCACCTCACCTACTCCACTAAACTAACCCACTACACCACTACCACCTCCACTTCACCTACTCTCCACCTACTCCCAAACACACTCCTATATAATAGGAATCCTTGTAATTGTAAAAAACACAACACATCAATATCAATCAATAATAAAGTATTTTTAACATGGTATCAGAGCAGGTTTAGAACCTAATATTCTCGCTTCACCGACGGGCGGCAATCTCACCTTAGCCGCCCGCCGGACCTCAATCTAGTCCACTACAATTTACTACACATACCTTGAAATTTCTTCGAGCCCACCACCTTCAATAAAACCCACGGTCCGACCATCTACAGTCCAAGTCCGCCACTGCAAAGGGCTTTGCCGGTGATGCTTGTGCTTGGAGACGCTAGGGGAAAGAATTGGACACTGGGTTGCCTTTTCTTGTCCTGCTTTACTGACTTCGCTGTTGAATACATGCGTTTCAGCTCTCTAATTTTATCTGCCCTCTCTTCTGCCCTGAGTTCTTCCTTAGAAGGTTCCTTTTCATATGAATCTGACCCTGCAACTATTGGTTCCAATCTAAATATCTTGTTGGAGGCAATAGGGACAATCTTCAGTGTCTGAGACTCCTTATCAAGAACCCCAAGAGCATAATTACAAAGCTGAGGAGCCGTGTTCGTACCGACGAAATTGACTTGCGACCCATTCGGGCTGACGACGAGTTGCAACCTCTTGGTCCGATTCTCGTGCCTGAAAACCCTAACCTTGGGTTGCTCCTGTGTCGATGATTCTTCTTTGAGAGGATCGAATCCAGAAGGAAAGTAACCGACGAGAGGGGCGATCTTGTCGGGATGTTCACTGAAAGTTTCGATCTTCTTCACATGAATGTTCTCTTCTTCTTCTTCATCTTCTTCAATTGTTGTCTCTGGTTTAACTTCTTCCGAAGACTCTTCGGCTTTGTACAGCTTCGTCTTTGCCATGGTGTCTCGCTCTCTCTTGATCCGAAGACCCACAAGCTTGGCTTGTTCACTCTGCTGGAGAGTTGTTCAGTGTTGCCTATGCGGGAATAGTGGCATCAGGGATAGCATTCGCTGTACAGATATGGTGTATTGACAGATCTTACCTTTCTTTTCTTTTACTCTCTCTCTCTGTCTTTGTTTATTATATTTTCACCCATACCTCTCTTTTTTTATTTATTTTTCTTCTGCAGCCTTTCCCCTTTTCCACCCACGTTTCCCTTACTTTACAACCAAACCTCTTTCTTTTGTCAGACCCCCCACAATGTGCTGTTGCCCAAACCCATCCCGCCTTTTTTTTTTTTTTATTTGGCCCTATTTTGTTGGGCAAATTACTTTACACCTTCTTTAGATTTAACGAAATTACAAATTCTCCCTTAGGTTTCAAAAATTATGTCTTATCACATCGCAATTAACACCGTTAACGGATATTATAAATTGATTAAAATGTCCTTTTGACAATAAGAGCAAATTACCTGCACCCCTTGAAGTTTAGCTAAATTACAAATCCTCCTAAGGTTTAGCTAAATTATCATATTTAAATAAGTTATGAAATGCAAAATAAAAATAGAAAAACACATATCACACTACAAAAATTAAGGTTTTAGTACCCAAAATTTAGGGACAGAATTATTTTTAGTGGACCAAATATTTTTATTTCGAAAAGTGTAGTTATTATATTTTTAGCAACGAAAATTGAACATTAGTAATTAATTATTATCTTTTTAGTATCAAATTTTTTGTCTAAAAAAATAAACTATTTTTAGACTAAATTATTTTATCCCTAAAAGTCTATTTATTATTGACATTTTTAAAATTTTATTGCTAAAAGTCTTATTTTTTACTTTTCATGATGACTTTTTAGCGACTATCCTCATGACAATAAAAATTAGTCCTTTAATGTCTTTTACAACAAAATTTTCACTTTTACAAATCAAAAAAATTGATCTCTAAAACTCTTATATATTATAGTGCCATATGATGAAAATATCATAAAATTAACAAATAATTAAATAAGTTAAAAATACAAGAAATGACTTGTCAAAAAATTCTTAGAATATGTTTGATTTGATTTTTAGAAAAAAAATTTAAATTTTCTTTTAAAAATATTAAAAATTAACTTGGTTAAGAAATAAAAAATAAAAAATTATTATTATTTTCATATAATTTTATCTTTTGAGTGGTTAGAAATAATTTTTACAACTTAAATATATTCTTTTTATTTATTTTTATTAAATTAGTTTTTATTTTTTTAAAATTCTGAAAAAAAATTTTAAACAACAAATCAAACACGGTTCCAAAAATTTATTTTTTTCCATCTAACGTAATTCATTTGTAAATTTTGTTGATTTATCAAAGGGATTCCAGTAGGGGCAATATCGTCCATCAATTTATATTTTGGTGATGTCAGCTAACCATTCTTAACGTTTAGTTAACGGTAGGAGTTAAATTGTTATGCGAATATAAACCTCAAAGGGCGAGATGTAATTTTTGAAATCTCAGGAGAAAATCTGTAAGTTAGCTAAACCTCAAGGGAGGTGTAGGTAATTTGTCCTATTTTGTTTTATAGTAGTACTAGTGTATGGAGATATGGTGTGAATAAAAATAAGTGAACAAAAATGAGAAAATAAAAAAAAAAATAAACAAATAGAGAGAAAAATAAAAATGAGAGAAAATAAAAAAAAATAAAAAGAAAAGAGAGAGAAATGTAAGATCACAGGATCTTGGAAAGATAGGTGAGAAAAAGAAAAAGTAAGAAAACGAAGCGGGAAAGTAAAAAATGTACATGTAAGACCTTTTTTGAAAAATATACCTCAGTCATTGTTTTATAATTTAAACTGATCTGAGCTATCCAAGTGTCCTACTAAGACAAAAATATATTAAAGATTCAAAAATCGTCATATTTTATTATATAGATTTTAGTATCAAATTTAACTCTCCACCTACTCCCAAACACACTCCTATATAATAGGAATCCTTGTAATTGTAAAAAACACAACACATCAATATCAATCAATAATAAAGTATTTTTAACAAGATATATGCAGCAAGAGAATATGTATTATATGAATTATCAACGATGTCCCCACTGATGGCTAAATGTTTTGATGATACTTATCAAAAACAAATATAGCCAAGTATTTAAATGTTGCTGAAGGCTATGTACATCTCTCTTTTGCACACTATCTATTTTCTTTAAATAAGATTTAATAAAGAATTTTTTCAAGTGCCGTAAAAATGGAAACCTACCAACAGGGCCTGCTTGAACAAACAACTCCCAGAGTAACTCTTCAGTTATCTGCAAGCAGAACAATATAATCATCAGCAAGACCAAAAGTTCAAACAATCAAATAATTTTTTTGAGGCATCACTTGCTGGGATGGTTGTCACTCAGAATGCCAAGCATATGAATGCCATCTCAAGTCTAGTAGCATCCACTTTGTCCGACCAATGGAAAAGGAACCTAGTCTTACCCCTCCCAGCACTCTCAGTTAACAACAACAAACACTAGGTTAGAACAAAGAAACATTTACCCTTAACGACAAAGGTATCTAACAAATTGATATATATGTCAAGTTTATAGAATATGCTATCAGATTACAATAGTTCTGTAACACGTTTAAATTATATGTGATATGGAATTAGAAGAAAATTTGGGGAATGTTAGGCTTCCACAGTAATGTATAAAAATTAAAATCACAGAATAATGAACCCTAATAGTTTAAATTAAAATAAAGATGGAATTTAATCAAATTAAAACCTCAATCAGCAGTGGCTTAAAAATCTATAAAGCGTCAATTTAGCTAATTCAGGCGATCCCAAGACTTGCAAGCAACATTCACCCAAAACTTAACAGCTGCGGTTACTAAATGCTAATTTTAAAAAATCATTCTGTATCTGATATCAAAAACCCTAAAATTACAAAAAACATAATTTTTCCAAAATATGAAGTCAGCAATCACATGATAGTTTTATGAATAACAGACAACCCTCGAATTCAAATCACTGAAAGAAAAAAATGCAAAACTAGGTTTGGAACATACTGGCTCAAGGAGGACGACAGTGAACCATATATCAGTGAGGTTTAGCTCTAAATCCTATTATTTAGCATTGTTTAATATATTTCTATACAGAAAACTTTGATAAAGGAAGAATTAAGAGAAAAAGGAAAAAGAAAAAATTGAGGGGAAGAGAAAAAGGACCTGAGGATCGAGATTGCCGACGTAGGCGGTGGCGTCTTGGTTCCTCTCGGCGGAGTGTTGGCCGAGCAGGTTCGCTCCGACGCCCGGAGCTATTCTAGTCGTCATCGCCCTCCCTCTCTCGCTCTTTCTCTCTCTCGCTCTCTGCTCCTCTAGTTTCTCTCTCTCTCTCTGTCTGTCAATCTCTCTCCGTATCTCTCTGGCTCCTTTGCGTAAAATCTATATTCAACCGGACGGGTATGGGCAGGAGACCCGGATAAACCCCTTCCTTCACCGCCCCGCCCTGCCCCGCCTTTTTTTTTTTTTTATTTGGCCCTATTTTGTTGGGCAAATTACCTTACACCTTCTTGAGATTTAACGAAATTACAAATTCTCCCTTAAGTTTCAAAAATTATATCTTGCCGCATCGCAATTAACACCGTTAACGAATATTATAGATTGACTAAAATGTCCTTTTGACAATAAGAGCAAATTACCTGCACCCCCTTAAAGTTTAGCTAAATTACAAATTCTCCTAAGGTTTAGCTAAATTATCATATTTAAATAAGTTATGAAATGAAAAATTAAAATAGAAAAACACTTATCACACTTCAAAAAATTAAGGTTTTAGTACCCAAAATTTAGGGACAGAATTATTTTTAGTGGACCAAATATTTTTATTTCGAAAAGTGTAGTTATTATATTTTTAGCAACGAAAATTGAACATTAGTAATTAATTATTATCTTTTTAGTATCAAATTTTTTGTCTAAAAAAATAAACTATTTTTAGACTAAATTATTTTATCCCTAAAAGTCTATTTATTATTGACATTTTTAAAATTTTATTGCTAAAAGTCTTATTTTTTACTTTTCATGATGACTTTTTAGCGACTATCCTCATGACAATAAAAATTAGTCCTTAAATGTCTTTTACAACAAAATTTTCACTTTTACAAATCAAAAAAATTGATCTCTAAAACTCTTATATATTATAGTGCCATATGATGAAAATATCATAAAATTAACAAATAATTAAATAAGTTAAAAATACAAGAAATGACTTGTCAAAAAATTCTTAGAATATGTTTGATTTGATTTTTAGAAAAAAAAATTAAATTTTCTTTTAAAAATATTAAAAATTAACTTGGTTAAGAAATAAAAAATAAAAAATTATTATTATTTTCATATAATTTTATCTTTTGAGGGGTTAGAAATAATTTTTACAAATTAAATATATTTTTTCTATTTATTTTTATTAAATTAGTTTTTATTTTTTTTTAATTTTGAAAAAAAATTTTAAACAACAAATCAAACACAATTCTAAAAACTTTTTTTTTTTTTCCATCTAACGTAATTCATTTGTAAATTTTGTTGATTTATCAAAGGGATTTCAGTAGGGGCAATATCGTCCATCAATTTATATTTTGGTGATGTCAGCTAACCTTTCTTAACGTTTAGTTAACGGTAAGAGTCACATTGTTATGCGAATACAAACCTCAAGGGGCGAGATGTAATTTTTGAAATCTCAGGAGAAAATCTGTAAGTTAGCTAAACCTCAAGGGAGGTGTAGGTAATTTGTCCTATTTTGTTTTATAGTAATACTAGTGTATGGAGATACGGTGTGAATAAAAATAAGTGAACAAAAATGAGAAAATAAAAAAATAAACAAATAGAGAGAAAAATAAAAATGAGAGAAAACAAAAAAAAAATAAAAAGAAAAGAGAGAGAAATGTGAGGTCACGGGATCCTGGAAAGATAGGTGAGAAAAAGAAAAAGTAAGAAAACGAAGCGGGAAAGTAGAAAATGTACATGTAGGACATTTTTTGAAAAATATATCTCAGTCATTATTTTATAATTTGAACTGATCTGAGCCATCCAAGTGTCCTACTAAGACAAAAATATGTTAAAGATTCAAAAACCGCCCTATTTTATTATATAGATTTTAGTATCAAATTTAAAGATTGATTGAAAGACTACTTTATTATATAGATTTTAGTATCAAATTTAAAGATTGATTGAAAGAGAACGGGTGTAATTGTATATATAAAACGTAAAGTAAAAGAGGGAAAATATATATATATATATAAAGATCATTTGATGTGATAATAATAAAATTATACAAAAATGATAATAATTTTGTATTAATACATATAATCCAATCAACTCAAGGTTTCCTTCTACTACTTCGAGCAAACCCATATCAATTTTTTTTTTCTATCTTTAAATTTAATTTTACTATATTAAATAAGCTCCCAATCTTATCACATCCCTCCGGTTGAGATTTTTATTAATTTTATTCTCTGTATATGTTGACACAAGTGTAATACCATTAGCTGTTTAACCTACTACAGCATTACAATATAAATCATGGAAGCCAACCAAAAAGTCTAGCCCTAGTAAACTAGCCCTTTTGCTTGTGTACACCCTGCTGGATACACAAGTCTAACCATACACAAGCCTCTATAATAGGATCTGGGAGTCTTCATACACCATCAGTTCTTGCTGCCCAACTCCAATATTTGCAAGTGCATGATTGGCCTATCAGTGAATGTGCCTGATTGAGCAACTTGTTATGTGAATCAAGAATTTGGTGTCTTCAAACAGTGCTATGTAAAGGGCAGTTTGGATAAGTGTCTTCTTGGATCAACTTTGCAGCATCTTGACAGTCTATTTCAATCTCCACTTCATGCCATCCTTTCTCATGAATGATGGTTGTTCTGCGGTAAATTGCTCAAATTTCTGATCAAGGCAAGTTGCTGTATCCAACTTTCAAGAATAGCCGAGCAGCCGTGAACCACTTTTCAATATCATTTTTGTAGACAACCCAGCAATAACATTTGAGCATAGTATAGACAATCTATTTAGAGTTTAATATATTTTAACAAATCAAATACCTTCAATTAATAACCACAAACAAACTCAAATTTGAATCAAACCAAAAAATTCAATCTAATATTAAAATGGAACAATAAATTTTATTAATAACTGGACAAATATAAACCTTTTATTTGTAAAAATTGGGGACATAATCAATGCTCAGACTGAACTCTGCGGTTATCTCTTTGTTAACAATTTCAAACATCAAATCCTTTTAGAAGGCTCACTGCCACTAGCATGACAAAACATGACTCAGATTATTACCAAAAAAAAAAAAAACAACAACAACAACAACAACAACTAGAGCATCCAATTGCATGCTAGACAAGGAGACAAAACAAATACTAACATCAACATAGAATTCAACCAAAACTTTAGCATCTCTTTTGAAGTATAACAATAGCCTCATTCAAAGATTCAATCTGGCTTTCAGTCAAATCAAAAAAAATTAACATTGCTAGCTCACAATTTAGCCAAACTGCATCCCTTGAGTTGCAGATCAAAAATGATCATCAATTCCCAGTGCAAAAAGTTCCAACAACACTCGAAGATTAGCCTATCGTTTTTCACCAGTCCCTGAAGAAGGAATTGCAGCCAGATCAAGTTGCTCTTCGAGTTTCCTCCAAGCATTCAAAAAGTTAGCCGGGAACTTCTTCTTTGCTGTCCAACACATCCTTTTTGCCTCGTCAATTTTTGACTTCTTCACCAACCCATGCACCAAATGCTTCAACGTGTTAAAATCCGGAATCTTATGAACCTTCACGCTCTTCTTGAACATCTCGTAACCCTCCTCAAAATCCTCACTCCGGCACATATGATAAATCAAAGTCCTAAAAGTTGCAGCATTTGGATAACATCCATTTTCCTCCAACCCTTGATAAACCTTCTTAGCCTCATCCATCATCCCACACTTGCAATAACAAGTCATCAAATAATTGTAGCTAATCGTGTCCGGTTTTAGCCCAAGATTGCTCATTTCCTCGATCAATCCCTTCACATTTTCTGCTTCACCACCTTGAGAATGATGCATTAACCGAACATTATAAACTGCAACATCAGGCAAACACCCTTTCTTCAGCATCTCATTCCAAATCCTCTCGGCCTCGTCTCGATTCCCTTTCTTGTACAAAGCATCCAAGATTGTCGTAAAAGTAACAGTGGTAATTTCAATCCCTTTATCTTCCATTTCATTCATTGTTTCAATCGCCAATTCAGGCGAACCCGACTCACAATACGACTTAACCAATACACCATACGATACTCTGTCGGGCAAAAACCCGTATTTCTGAGGAATTTCTTTGAACAGTTTGGGGACCTGATTGAAGAGCTTGGATTGGTTACAGGCCGAGAGAAGAGCATTGAAGGAGATTGCCGACCTGGGAGTTCCGAGATCATCCATTTGATTGTAGGTTTTGAGGGCGTGATCGAACATGCCGGCGAGGCCGTAAGATCGGATGAGGGTGGAGATGTAGGGTTCTTGGGTGATTTTGGGATCATTTTTGTGGGATTCCAGGAGGGTTTCGATATCGGCAAAGCGGCGAGACTTAGCGAGACGCTTGACGGTGAGGTCTTGGGCGTAGCGAGAGGAGACAGGGGAAGTGTAGTGGTTGGAGACGGAGGAGTAGATTTCTAGGGCTTTGTCTGGGTCCAACTCCGATCTCAGTTTCGCTTTGGCTTTGGAGATGGAGATAGCGGAGGAGGAGGAGGAGGAGGAGGTGGTGGTGGCGGCGGCGGCTGCGGCGGTGGAGAGGTGGCGAACTTGGCGGAGTAGAAGAGAAGTAGACATTATCAGGGTTCGTAATCGTCTACTATTGTTCAAGGGTTTTGGGGGAGGAAACGGTAGACCTGAGGTTCGGAGCTGATTAGGGTTTTACAGTCTTGGTATTATAATTGATATATATATATATATATATTCGTCTTTTCTTTTTAATTTTACCGTTATATTTTTAATAATTTATTAATAATGACCAATATATTCAGCGAAAGTTTTTGTAATCACGTAAATATTTTTTGTTAATTATACAATAGATTTTTTTATAATTACGCAAATATTTGTGATGAATCATGAAATAGGTTTTCTCGTAATTACGTAAATATTCTTAGTCAATTATAAAAACATAAGAAAGATGCTTTGAAGTTTTAATTCTTAAGTTCTAAAACCAACTGTAATGAGCTAACAATGGATCTCATCCACGATGTGATATTTTGGTCTTGATTTTTTTTTTCCCCCTTACCATGTCATTAGTGCTCTGAATTATTGCTAAAAACATAAATATTTTATATTTTAACAAATTATAAATACACTTATAAGGTTGGTTTAAAATATGAATCGATCTTATAATATTAGAAATTAAAACTATTATTTGTTATAAATTTTCATTTAACGCAATACTCAGAAGAAGAAGAAAAAAAATCCTCCTATGCAATAATAAATTATCAAAATTGTTTATTGAAAAATATTTCTCATATCATTAAAAATTGTTAATTGACTTAATGATTTATTTATTAACAAAACGGTTAACTGAAAAATATTTTTTATACCATTAAAAAATGTTAATTTATTTATTAATAAAAGTAGTCATTTGTTAGGCAAATATGATTTATTTATTAATAAAATTAGTTATTTATATATATATTTTTTTTTATTTTGCTTCTTTATTAGTTCAATGAATTATCTTGGTAGTTTTTTTTTTTTTTGGCGAATTACACTAATAGTCCATATAGTTTGGGTCTTATGTCACTTTGGTTGACTTTTCAATTGTGGCGCATTTGATCATAAATTTTGAATCTTATTCCAAATAAGGACAATCGAATATACATTGCTCAATTTTAAGGGCAAAGTCCTCAATTTAATAAAATACAAGCTAATTTGACAAGAATAATGCCTCGTTTGGCAAGGGGCTTTTTAGTTAAAAAATTAAAAAGTTACTAAAAAAACTAAAAAATCAACAACTTATACCAAAAAGTCAAAGGTTATTTTTCCTCTCTACTTTTTGTACATCTTTTCGTAAAAAATCAAAAAGTCATCCCAAACATACTATTTTTTTTACATCATATTTTAAATGTCAAAAAAATATTTTTAAATTTTTAAAAATTATTTGTACCCACTAAAAATAAAATTATATAAAATTGATAAATCTTTAAAACATTTATTTTTTATTTTTATCAATTAATTTTTATTATGTGTTTGAATGATGATCATGTAATGGGTGATTGTTTTTATTTTTATTAAATTAGTTTATATTTTTCCAAAAGTCAAATATGACAACTTTGATATCATTATTAAACTAATTCATTAAATCAATAAATTCAAAACTAAAAACATGTTATATATTAAATATATCGATTACACATTTAAAGCCTAACAACCGCTCATTACATGACCATCATCTAAACACATAATAAAAATTAATTTGATAAAAAAAATTAATAATAAATGACTAAAAGATTTATCAATTTTATATAAATTTATCTTGGGGGATTGACCAATAAGTCTCGTATTTTGAACTTGTAATCTATATAGTCCCATGTTTTTTTTTTGTGATCTATTTAGTCTTTTTGGATGTATAATGACTCATTGCCCGTCACATTTAAAAAAAAGTACACTAAAGAGTTTTTTTAGTGTCACATTATACCCGTCACATTAGAGTGTCACATTTGAGAAAAGTACACTAAAGAGTTTTTAATTTTTTTAGACTGTCACATGATACCCGTCACGTAAGAGTGTCACATGTCACGTTTGAGAAAAGTACACTAAGGAGTTTTTATTTCTTTTTGAAGTGTTACATCATACTTGTCATGTTTGGAAAAAATACACTAAGAAGTTTTTAATTTTTTTCAGAGTATCATATCATATTTGTTACGTTTGAAAAAAATAAACTAAGGATTTTTTTTTTTTTTGAAGTGTCACATCATACAAGCCACGTTGTCACGTTTGAAAAAAGTACATTAAAGAATTTTTTTTTTTTTGAAGCGTCACATTATACATGCCACATTGTCATGTTTGAGAAAGGTACACTAATGATTTTTTTTTTTTAAGTGTCACATCGTATCTGCCACTGTCACATTTGAAAAAGTACACTTAGGCCTTGTTTGGCATAATCTAAAAAAAGTCAAAAAGTCACTATCCTATTTAAGTCACATCATCTTATTTAAGTCACATCACATTTTAACACATCACTTCAAATCCAACTCATACCCAACCCATATTTCATAAAAAGTCAAAAAGTGCACTTATTTAGATCATCTCAAACCACCTCTAAGGATGAATTATTTTTTTTAGAGTAAAAGTTTTAGAGTGTCACATCGTACATGTTACGTTGTCACATTTAGAAAAAGTACACTAAGAAATTTTTAATTTTTTTAAAATGTCACATCGTTGGAGTGTGATATTAATACCTGTTACATTGAAATATCACATCATATATGTCACATTAATAAAATGATATAAGTGTCTACTAAAACACTACCAAAATAAAAAATAGGAACACACAGAAAAAAAAAAACTCTCCACTAATAGGACTTAACAGATCAATGGAAAAAACTTGAGACTAATTGGAATACTTGTTTATAAAATAGGATTTATTGATAAACATCTCATTTATCTTTGGTGAGTAGAAATTATTTTTAAAAATTCAAAAAATATTTTTTTGACATTTATTTTTGTCAAATTAGTTTATATTTTATCAAATTAGCGGCTTTACTCTTGAAATTTAGTAGTGATATCTTCAATTGTCTTTATTTGGAACAAAATTTAAAATTCAAGGTCAAATATGTCGCAATTGAAAAGTTATAGACCAAAGTGACACGAGCCCTAAATTATAGGGATTGTTAATGTAATTCGCCCTTTTTTTTATATGAGATAATTATTTTTGTATTTGTTTTATATTTATCTGTTAAGAAAAGTTACACACAATAAAAAAATTTAAAAAAAAAAATTGAAAGAAATGTTAAAGACTTATAAATTCTCCAAAAATGATATGGTAATAGAATTCAAGTCTACATCATTGAGTGTATAATAAATCAAAAAATAATATATATTATATCATATAATTTTATTATATATCTGATGATTTATTTTATTCAATTCCATAGAACAATATTTTAATTTTTAAAAAATTATCAAAATACAAAAATTAAATATACTGTAATAATAGTCTGTGCTTTACACGAGCCTTTGTAAACTATACACTAGTATATATATATATGGGCCGGAAATGGTTTTTTTTTCTTTTCTACCTCCCATTAACCAACTTAACCCAACCTAATTAATTTCTCATCGGGAGAGAATTCTCTCCTAACTAGGAAAGGATATTTGCTTGTTGGCACGTTTAACCCGTCTAATTCAACCTTATTTTTTTAGAATTTGAGAAGATTTTTAGCTTATAAAGTTTGGTTGCACTGACATTTTCTGCCCGAAATATTAATGGGTATGACTTGGGATTTGTATTTTAAATCTAGCCCGATTCGCCCCACTATTGAATCAATTATTTATTTATAATACATTAAAATAAATATTTTTTATTGAGATTTAAACTTTATCTTTATTGATTTTATTGAAACTCACATTTACGGTGATGTGTGATTGAATTTATTTAAGAAATCTTTCAATTTATACGCAAAATCTTACAATTATAATGATGCCAATATATTTATTTAAGAAATATAATGTGTGATTGAATTTAATTATGTAATGTTTTAATTTTTTTTTTTTTTAACATATAGCCCGGTGAGCATTCTTAGGATTTATAATTATTTTTTAGACTGGGCTTGGGCAAATATAGAGGGCCAATGTTAGGGCCAGGCTGGACTTGGGCAGACACAAAGTTCATTATTATGTAGTGCCGGCCCAATGTTTGTCCACCCCTTCTCCCAACTGGAGGGTATTGGGTATTGTTGGGCTCTAGTGGGCCCATCATGGAGCCCAAATCGATAATCTAAACAGTTCAATATGTAAAACTTATACTTTATTTCTGTAAAAAATTACGTTAATCAAATATTGATAATCACTTGATTATTTCACATTTGTATCAGTAATTTATTTTTTAAATTATTGTTACCGTTGACACAAATATAATTTGATCATTTATCTATCAATATCCAATCGATAAATTCTATATATTGAACGATTTAGATTATCAACACAGGATCTGTGGTAGGTCTACGGAGAGCCAATAACACCCTCCAATTTGACATAGACTGGAGAAAATCTTTTTCTTTTCCATAATGATTTTTAGATATTTATTAAAGTGGAAATAACTTGACAGTGGATGTCAAGGAAAAATAATTACAAAATATTATAGATATTAATAATTAAAATTATAAAAAATTTCACTAATATATAATTAATTTTCACTAACACCACTTCAATGTAATTGTCCCATTATTAAATTATTGCAGTGGTTGATAAAGCTAAAAATTAAAAATTAAGTACTAAAAATTGAATGTTGAATTTTTTAAGTTGAAAAGATATTTGATAAAAATTTAAATGTTGAAGCAAAGCAAATTGTTTGATATATATATAATCAAATTTGAAATTTATTATTTTCAAATTATATCTTTTAATTTTTATATTATGATGGTGAGTTGGCGATAGTAAAGAAGGTGGCAACGTTAGGTATGGCGCTGATGGTAGAGATAAATGGATAGTGGTTGTGGTGATGGTAAAAGGGTAATGTCTTGAAAAAAAAAAAAAAAGTACTGACAGTGTAATGATAGTTGTTGTTGTATTTTGATGGTGGTTATAGTAATTGTGACAATGGTTGTAGAGGTAAAGAGTTGTAGTAGTTGTTGGAGCGGTAGTAATAGTGGCAATGGCGACTATGGTGGTGAAAATTGATGGTTGCACTTATAGTAACAATGACAATGGACCTAGTGGTAGCAGTGGAGGTGATGGCAATGGCATAGTGGCGGTGGCGGTGGTGGTGGTATGGTAGTAGTAGCGGTATGGTAGTAGTAGTTATAGCGGTGGTTGTAGTGGTGTCATGATGGTGGTGGTAGTAGTAGCATCGGTAGTAGTAGGGAGCTTCTATTTACACATCCACCTTCTTCTCTTTGCACACACTACATAAAAATTATTTTTATTATAAATTTTTTTTTCAAGTGAAATTACTATTATAGACATCAAATAAACACATTCGGAAGTTGAATGTCGAAAAAATAATAAAAATTCGGAAGTCTACTTCCGAACTAATTGTTTATTTTCGGAAAGCTACTTCCGAACCAATTGCTTATTTTCGAAAATCTACTTCCGAACCAATTATTTATTGAAAAAGATGTGTAAAGAGGGGAATGGGTGTGTGTAAATAGAAGTTCCCGTAGTAGTGAGATGCTTATATTTGATATTTATAAATTCAATTAGGATTAGGGGTACTTACACGTAAGTTTTAATAAGTGGACTTATTAATAGGTCTTATGAAAATATGTTTTATATAACTTAATTTTTTTTTTACTTCTAATCTATAGGATAAATTATAAACACACCCTTTAAGGTTTACTTAAATTACAAATTATCTCATGTGATTTTAAAAATTACATTATGCCCCATAAGATTTCTAATTTCATAACAAATAGGTCATTTTATTAATAAATTATTAAGTTAATTAACAGTTTTTAATAATGTTAAAATTTTATTTCAATTAATAATTCAAATAATTTTGTTATTGTACAGGTGAACAGTTAGTAATTTCACTTTTTGAATTAATTCTATTAAATAAAAAGTTCTGATAGGAAATTATATATAATTGTTCAAATCACAAGGATAATTCGTATTTTAAGCAAATCTCAAGAAGGGTATTTGTAATTTAACCCAATCTATATTTTAAGAGACACTTAAATTTGTAAGTGATATCATTGTGGTTATTAAACGACCTTAATTAATTATCACTTTTGTTTAGTTAATAAATATTTTTCTGGAAAAGATGTTATGGATTTGCTGGTATTTGGTACAATGAAAAACGAAAATCAACGAAAAACATTTTCCATGATCAACAGAAAACAAGTTTATAGAGATAGAAAATGTTTTACGCTTTTTTAAAAAAGAGAAAACGTTTGTCAGACTGAAATTATAGCAATATCGCCACATTATTACCACTACTTTCACCACGACCACTGCCACTATCACCACTACCGCCGCTACCCCACCACCATGCCACCACCTCCATCTCCTCCTTCACTTCACTTCACCACCACCACCACCCCTGCCACTATCACCACCACCGCCGCTACCCCACCACCATGCCACCACCTCCATCCCCTCCTTCACTTCACTTCACCACCACCACCACCAAACATTATAAAAAATAAAAATAAAAATTCAAAAAATATTTTTTTAAAAAAAATATCCATAAATAATATTTTCATTTAAAAAATACTTTCGTCAAAACAAACGAACCTTAATGCAATTACTGTTTTTTAATCAAGTTATCAAGAAACCCCTCATCTAAGCTTTTGACTTTTATAACAACCCTTCATTTAAAAGTAGATTGTGATCAAATATTGGAGGACAATTGTTTTCAATTGAGGAAACTCAATTTTCTAGGGAAAAAAATACAAATCAATGAGAAAGATGAGAAATAATTAATATATATATATATATATATAAATATAAATATATGTAAAAGTATTCTAACTGTTGCGACATTATTTTGACCTTAACAATACTCACGTAGATTGTTGTTTAGCCTGAACCTGCAATTATATCAATAATAGACAAAACTAGAGGTGCAATTTATATGATAACACAAATCATAAGCTTTTGAAAGCTTCATGCATCGCCGAATTCATTAACCTATTCAGCCAAACAATCCAATTCAAGCCAAACACATTAATCAAATTCAGAATGTATTTTAACTTGCAAAACATAGATTCATCCTTAAAAAAAATAAAAATAAAAATTTTAAAAAAGACCATTTAAATATCCGATGACAAAAACAAACAGTTTTAGCTCTTTAGAAATTGCATTTCCAGCCTGCTTTACTGGTCCCCTAATAAATCTACGGAATTAATGTTCATTTCTTCTTTCCCCTCAATTTGGCATCTGGCACTGAAATTAATGTCTAACAATACCAAGTCTGACAAAACAAGGGAAAATAGGAAGTAATTTTTCCTCAAAACATAAAATACAATCCACTAATTGTCTGCAAATAGACCTCTATAAACCATCCATATCAAAAATCCTAACAGAAACAAATTAACATCTAGTTGTAATAACTGAGATGACAGTAACTTAGTCATCGTACTCCCCCTCTGAGAATTTGTTCTCCGGATAAAAGACAGCCACAACTTGATTCCCACCAAATTTTCTACCATTCAACCCTTGTCGAGCTCTAGTGGCACTCTCAACATCAGCATATTCCAAGAACACCTAAAAGCAACAAGATAGTTTTCTTTAGCAATTGGACTCAAAGAAGTGCATATCATCAGATTCAAGAATCACAGAAGGCAGCTCTGTATTGGTATCAGATATATGGAGACTATTAATTCAAGAAATAACCCAACCTCCATACAAAGTAGCTCCCTATTGGTGCTTATAGTATAATTTTTTTTCACCTTCCATAGCGAAAGGATCCATAAAGCAAAGAAAGCAAAGACTGCTCAATACTAACCTTCCCAACCCCCGGGGTTGGTTCATCATTGGGATTCGGGCGGGGGATGATAATGTTCACTAAGGTTCCTGCAAAATGCAATGAGAATTGAATTGAGATCCAAATTCACAGAATAGACAAGAAAACAGTCTCATGTGAATGTAGATAGAAGGTTATGGAGTCTTCTGTTTGTTAGGCCTGATTCTGTATAGCAGAATGTGGGACTACAATAGGCTGTAAAACAGAAAGATATAGCACAAAGTAAATCAATATATGTTAAAACATATTGGCATGAAAGAGTGAAATAAGCAAACAATTTCATAGACTAATCACAGGTCACTACTAGTATTTACCGAATTTTCCACATTCTATTCTCATATCTTCCAGTATGTCTTCATAGTCTTCATCATCTTTGAGTTCATCTGCAGTAACCACTTGTGTCAAGCATAAAACCTTGGTGGCCAGTGCAACAGGTTGTAACATAAGTCTCTGCAAAAGAAAGTGGCAGTCAGAAACGAACATATAAACAATAGCGCACAAATAAAATGTGAAGGACAACCCCAAAAGGTTACCTATCAAACAAAAAAGGGGAGGTGTACAATGACTCTGATGCAGGATCTTTAATTTCAGCACCAAAATCGGGTCAAATAAAGAGAGAAAATAGGCTAAATGATATGGGGGTTTGGGGACAGATTGTGGCTAGGGTCTGATATTCTAAAGAAAGGTTTAAGAAGCTCAAAATTGAGTTTTGAGACACAATCAACAGGCCGGATTTATGTTTAAAAAAATGCGGCCAAGGTAATGAAATAAAGCATGTAAAGAAAGCAAAGATAACTATGCAATCACACCTAGGTTCAAGGGCAATCACACCCAAGAAGAGATGTATCAAATACCTGGATATATAACAAATATTTATTATTTCTTCAAGTTCTCCAATAAATTACTGAACTTACATTATTATAGGCATCTCAATACAATAATAGACAAACAATCAAAATGCAAAATTCAAAGTGAAATATGCACATCAATCTTTTTTTTCAAAGTAACAGATAATGGTTGGCGGCTGGTGGCAAACAATCAAAATGCAAAATTCAAAGTAAAATATGCACACTAATCTTTTTTTTTTTTAAAGTCAAAGATAATGCTTGTTGATAATGGTTGGTGGCTAGTGGCTCTATGCTTTTATTTGTCAACATTATCAGGCTAGATTAGAATCCTGCCAAAAAACAATGATAGCTTTTAACTTTAGCTTCCCCTTCCTTTTGTAATATTTTCCATATTTCCCAGCCATATTTTCTGCATCAGACTCATGATTAACTGAGGTCCGAGGATGTTAAGCCTGTATAGGTTCAGTTCAGGTTAGAGCCAAACCCATAATTGAACTGACCTTGGTTGGTTCTCAGCTTTTAAACCTAGAAATAAACAGATCAAAGTATAGAACCGAACCAACCAACCCAAGGAAATTCAGGTTGGCTCCGATTGGACACGTGAGTCTAACTATATTGTAATAAATTTTGACTTGTTCATAAAATGCAAAATGGTAAAATTGTAAAGACCTATTGCATACTATTATTATGTGTAGCAGTGTCAACTTAGACATAGTCATAACCAAGAACATTAAAACATGTTATTCAGAACTCAATTCATAAAATTTTGTAAAAAAATATACAAGGGTTGGTTCACAGATTGATTCAGGGTATCCAGCCACCAACCCAATAACCAAACTAATTTGGCCAGTTCTGGGATTTTTGGACTCAGAATGAAATCCAACAGATACTACAACCACTTATTTGACTCTTTTGTGCACCCCTAGATGCAAGTGTGGGTCAATAAGAAAATGCTCAACAAGTAGAGGAAAATGAAATTTCACCTGTAACGCTATTTGTTGTTGCGCATGCAACAGAACACTCTCTTGCTCCGGTTTAGGTTGGGTAGTACCCTGGTTAGCACGCCTAACAGTAAGAGTTTTATCACCCATTTTAATTCCATTGAGAGCAGCACAAGCAATATCTGTAACTGATAGATCCTGGTAAACACAGAAGGCATAGCCTTTCGAGTTTCCAGTTTCTCTGTCCTTCACGAGATCAAAACCTCGAAGGGGCCCAAAAGACTCGAGTAGCTCCCTGATTTGTGCCTCTGTGAAATAATATGGGAGGCCACCCACAAAAATGCGATCAGGACCCTCAAGCCCGCCAGCAGATCCTATTGTTAACCCAACAGCAGCAAGATTCAGATTCGGGTTGGGCTGGCTCGGCCCAAGTGTAGCAGCTAGTGAGGGGTTGTAATCACTAGGTCTCCTCACCTTAACTGGTGCTCCCTGGACATAAGAATAGCAAAAAACAGAGGTCAATACTAGTAAATGGGAAACATGCATATACAAAAAATGCCAAGTACTAAACAACTTGCAGACAGGATGAGAACAAAACGGCACAAAAACTAAAAAGTTTTTTCTTTTTCTTTTTTTTTTTTTTTTTGTTTTTCCCTCCTTTCTTGCATGCACAAATCAGTGTTGTGAATACCATACCAGACCGGACTATTCTGGCTGGCACATACCATACTGGTAGGAAAACGATACAGAGCAAGTTCCATACCAGAAAGTTTCGGAATGTACTGGAATATACCACCAAATTTTGGGTCATACAGGATTTTACCAGTGCGTACCAGGACAATATAAGTATTATTTAGTAAAGTTGTAGGATTTAAAAAGGACAAAGGCAACTGAAGTTTTAAAAACTTAACAAAAAGACTTTAAATAAAAAATTAAAAATAAAAAGTGATTAATATATCCAATTATTCAAAATGTAATTAATAAAGTGTACAATAGAAGTCATATTATTTCTACTACTACAATTTGTGGAGAACAGAAATGTGAAATATTTTATAAAAATCAAATGTATTTTACCTTACAAATCATATTACTTTTCTTGTGCATTGTGTAATGTGTAGTATGAAGTGTTACATAAAGTGATATGTTTTAAAAAGGACAAGCGGTATATTTTATAAAATTTGATGAAACATGGCTAATAAGTAACTAATATATATAGGAGTGTTACTTTTTCTTTATTTTATTTAAAAACTTCTATAAATCCAAATACTTGATAAATATCTTAGTTGCACGAAGCGGGGCTGGAGAATCGTAGACATTCCAAGAATCATTGGTAGGGAACGCTTGTATATAGATTAAATAATATAATATATAAAAATATATTGTGAGATTATATTTTTTTTTTCTCTAATGATAATGAAAATATATGTTATAAATTTAAAAATAAATAAATAAATAAATAATCATATGTTAAAATATTATAATTATATACTTTTATTAGATTATTTTCATTTATTCTAAAATATTTATTCTAAATATTTATATTATTTTTTTATCTATTTATTTTAAAATGTTTTTGTTAAAAATTATTTGTTTTATTTATTTTCTAACAAAAATAAAATAAAAGAAGAGAGAGGGAGAGGAGAAGAAGAAGATAGATGAATGGAATACAAGAAAAGGAGAGAGAGAGAGAGAGAGAGGAGGAGGAGATCGATCAAATCGATCTCCAAAGGAGAGGGGAGGAGAGGAGATCGAGAGAGAGATAGGAGACAAGATCGACCGAGAGAGACAATGAGATAATCGAGAGAGAGAGAGAGACGATGAGATCGATCGAGAGAGAGCGAGAGAGACGACCGACAGAGAAATTGAGGTCGAGAGTGAGGATGACAGTTCTAGATAAGTTCCTTCTCTTCTCAGATTCACGTTTCTCTAGCATTAGACTCGCGATTCTTCTCTGAATCTTCCTCAGAAGCACAGAATAGCGCTTCTTTGGCTGATTCATGAGCAACTTCAGCGATTCCTGCTACTAAGATAAATATATACCAAAACATAGAAGGAAAGGGAAGAAAAGGGGGTTCCATTGCTTTAACATGAATTCCTCAAAGAAAGAACTTAAGAAACGTGAAATTCTTGGCCTGAGTTCAATGACCACTTTTCAACATCAAGATCAATTGGAAGTTTAATATTAGTTTATCAAAATCCAAGAAAAAATCAGACTCCCTTTAAAGTTGATATAGATAATACTACTTATCCCAATAATTCTGAAATGGCACGTCAAAAGGCACAGATATCAGTATATTCTGTACCAATAACAAAAATGGTTGGGGTACACTAGCTAGTATGGTATTAACAACATTTACAGAAAGCTCCAAAATACACATGCAGATTTTTTTACACAACCCGGAAAGGGGGGAGAATAAGCATATGAAAGAACTTCCAAAGAATGGAAATTGCAAGTAAACAACCAAAACCTAAGGTCCCTCATAGGCTAGTGGAGTCGGATAAACATTCAAGTACCTCAAATATAATGCCATCCAAGGCCATGGCATTACTGGCTTCCTCAACAGATCTCATCTCCACAAAAGCAAACTTCTTCTCATGGTTTATATAAACATTGACAACAGCATCACCTGAACATCATAGAAAGAATAAGTATCTACACAGCCAAAAAACAGTTTACTTTAGTCATATATAAAAAACGCAATCTCATATTGACTAACCTGGACCAGCAGTGTTTCCGCCGATTGCAGACATAACATGGCTGAAAAAGGTTGCCACAGACTGCATAAAAGGTAAATATTTACCAAGCTGAACACATTTTAAGCAATCACAAGGAACCCAAAAAACAACAATCAAACAGGATCCATTCCTTATTTCCCACAGTTAAACAGGACATTCAATAAAAATTGAAAGCAATTTTTATTTCGCTATCCGTTTCGGCTAGTGTGAAATAGGGTAGCCAGTCGATATCTTAAGATATGGGCATATCAGGATATCCTCAATAGAAATATCTATTCTTTTTTCTTTGGCCATTTATTTCTTTGTATCCAAATCTCAAGTTTAAAGCATCGAATGCCCCCTTCCCTCCTGATCAGATTGAGCTGCGTCACCTCCAGTTCTCAGGAAGATCCTTAATTGAAAGAGATCCAAAAATCGAATCTAAAGTCTTGTACAACATTAAAAGTTTAAAAACCTACAGGTCTCTCATTAATTGTTTTCCCCCTTAAAAACAGTGAAAATTAGAAATTAAAAAAGATTGGTTCCATACAGGTATTTATAAAAGTCAGTGCTTGGTTCGTATAAATTACTTTAGTAAAAATAAACAAAGACACCTAGAATTGAAAACATCAGAGTAATAGCACACTATGATATCTGGAATGTAATACATAAGAGACATGGATGGTGCAGCGGAGCTAATGGATAAAGAGACAAACCTGTTCATTTGCAGTGGGGGAAAGCCCACCAACGTACACACGTCGAGCATGTCTAGTAGCCTGCCATTATGATATTTAAAGCAAAATGTCAAGTATCAAAACAGAAAACATTGCAGAATAAAATACAAAGAAACAGAAGAATTAGCGAGAACAAATGTCTTTATCCTGCCAACCTGCTGAGTCATTGCCTGGACTGGCATAACAGGAAGAGGTCCAAACTGCTACAAGGAGGGGGAGAATTTAGAAAGAGAGACAAGGGGAAAAAAAATGAAAACAGATATAAGTGAGTGTGAATCAAAAGATGCACGAGTAATTATTCCACAGGATAGGAAAAAATTACCTGCCCCGACGCTAATGGAAACATGTTAGGAAACATTCCAGGGATAGCTGGGGCGTTCCCAGGGATCTGACCTGCAAAGGCTAAAGGAATTACATAGCAGAACGAAAGCTGAATTATCCTCTTACTCTTCTAATATACTATGAGTAATACTAGTCAACAGAATTCCCCTCACAGTTGTAAAGAAGTCGATTATTTAATAAATCCTAGGACCTGTAGTAAAATTTATCAAAAGAGATGGAAGGAATAATACAACTTATTCAAAACTGGAGGAAATATTTGTAAAACTACCAAAACAGGCAATAGTTGCTGGACGAAGACGGACAAGACCCATCAAACTGGTGCATTGGTTCCTCCTTGTATGCTAAAGCTACAGAAGTCGGCTCATGCCCATTGTCAGCACAGTGGGGCTAGTAGCTCGACATTGCCTTCTTACAACAAAAGATAAGACAGAGAAACAACAAACAAACACCAAACACAAGAAACAACCAAAAAAAAAAACCTCTCAGTTTCAGTATTATTTACTGAGTAAACAATTAAAAGAAAAACAATACAGCATGTCCAGGGACCACGGCTCTAAATCACATGCAAATAAAAGAACAAACCAGCATGGCTTACCAAAATGATACCATGCAATTTGATACGACCTTTCCACACTATATGAAAACCAAAAGAGAAAACGAAAGTTATGAAAATACAAGAAGTGAACCAAATACGATGACAAATGTACCTGCAACAGCAGCAGAAGCAGCAGCAGCTGCAGCCGCAGCACCAGCTAAAATTGCAGAAGCAGGAGGTGCCATGTCGAAACCACTGATCCTTTTGCTGCAAGTATACACTGTTAATTTAAAACCTTACAGGAAAAGATCTACAAGTAACAAAGTTTGAGTCAGAGTTGTCAGTAAAGAATCAAGCTCCGCACCCCACATAAATAAAATAATTTTTTTGGAACATAAAAGCATAAGTTGGCGATAGCTACAACAAAATCCAGCCATGGATCTTATGACAATTGGTAAGTATAATCAAAGATGCTGCAGCTTCCGCATTACATTGCACAAATAACAGTGTAATCAAGGTTCTGAAAAGCGGTTGTGGTCGCTATAACGGTGGCGGTGACGCGGTTGCGGTTGCGGTTGCGGTTGCAGGGTGTAAAGACCGTAGTGTAACGGTTGCGGTAACCAGAACCGTGAATTTTTTTATTTTTTGCATAATTTGAAAAAAACTTACCGATACGCATATTTTTTTTCCATGATCATATTTATTGGGTTAATAAATATTGATCAATTTTTGTAAATTTTTAAGTATGATCCAATATATTTCATATTTTTAAATCATTATAAACTGAGTTTTTTACATTTTATTTTAATAATTAATAATTAATGACTTTATATTTTACAAAAAATTAATCACTAACTATTATATATAAGATAAATAATGACAAAAGTAAGAGAATAAATAAGAACCTAAATATATATATATACATATTTTAACCAAGCCAAATAGATAATGACCACACTTATTATTATTATTATTTTCAAACAATATATAAATAGACACACACAAATAAAATGGTTTAATGATAGCAGCTGAATAGAATAGCATAAGTCTTACAGTTTTAACAAATCAATAACATGTTCTTCATCTTCCCTCTTCTCTCTCTCTCTCTCTCTATCTCTTGCTCCTCTATTTTCTCTCTTTATCTTCCCTTTTCTCTCTATCCCTCTTCCCCCATTTTCAGCTTTTTTTTTGTGTGTTCTTTCGAAAGAAACAGTTTGGAACTGTTACGTAACGGTGCGTAACAGGCTGTTACGGCACCGTTACGACCGCTACGGCACTGTTACGACCGCTACGGCCGACACACTTGTGAATCTCAATCACACTGCAAAAGCGGCCGTAACGGGTGACAGTAACCGCCAAAACCATTACGTAACGGTTGCGGCCACTTTTTAAAACCTTGAGTGTAATACATTCAAACAGGCACACTATTACTTAATTTGATAAAATATGCAGTTTAAACTTAAAACTTAAGGCTTTAATACAATCCAACAAAAGAATACCACAGCGATATTTACAACAGTGCAGCATATCAGAGGTACAACTTCAAATCTTATCAAAAACCAAGACTGAAGAGCAATCTATGGCAAATTGATTTAAGAATAATTGGTAACACTTACCTTTTTGAACGTGAACGAGATCGCGATCTTGATCTATGCTCCGATCTACCCCTGGAGCGAGATCGAGGACTATGTTTATGCCTGTCCTCTCTGTCCCTGTCATAATCTCTCCGCCTACAAGCAAAATCCATTCAACATTTCATCAATGCCTCAAAAGAAAATACCATCAAGAAAGATGGCATAAAGCTTTGGCTATATAAAATGTACACAGCAGTGCATAGTCTTGCAAATAAAAAATGCTAGTATTAGAATATCAACTATGAGAAAACGTCACCTAATTAAAGCTCATCAGTTATCCGCAATGTACAAACATGGACCTAAACATAAACTTAAAACAAAATAAAAGGGAAAACTTAAACTGCAAAACAGCATTACATTTATGTTACCTTTCATAGTCCCGAGTGTGGTGATGATAATCATCATCATCTCTATCTCTGCCCCTATCCCTCCTCTCGCTCCGTTCCCTGTAGCGGTCTCTGTCTCTGTCTCGGTCTCTGTGATGACGATCACGAGATTTATCTCGATCCCTCTCCTTATCCCTTTCCCTATCTTTATCTCTGTCCCTGCCACTATCCCTATCCCTATCCCTATCCTTGTCACGCCCTTTCTCCCTTTCCTTCTCCCTGCTCTTTGAAGACTCTCTTTCACAGTCTCGCGAGTGCTGCCAATGACACATATATACCATCTTTTTCAGTAAACGCATCCAACGCACAATTAGATAATACTCAACATCAAGTACCAATTTTTAGGTACTACTGCTAGCTACAACCAGGAATTATGAAACGCAAATCTCAAGTACCTAGTATCCCCTAAGTTGATTACAAACATGACTCAACGCAAATCGTTCAGAAAGAGATGGTTTTTAGACCAAACTCGAAATAGATATATACAAAAAAAAAAAACCCGATTTCATCCAAAACCCTAAAATCACGTGGATTTTCTCCTAGGTACAGGAAGAAATTTCAAAACAACCAAATTACAGAGCTATGAAGAACAAAAACCCTAAATTCATAGAAACCCTAATATCACAATCAAGGTCTCAGACTCATGCTTCTTCTATCTGATACGATCTCGTCAATAGAAGAACAGAAAAAAAAGAGAAGGATTTGAGTTTGGAGATAATGAATACCTGAGACTTGGAATCACTGTAATCGCCATGGCTGCTACCTCTGGGTGGAGGGGAAGAGCCACCATAGTTGTCGAGTTCTTCTCCATTGCCCTCGTATCTTCCTTCGTCGTAGTCCGTCATCGTTCGTTTTCGCTTTGGCTGTAGCTTTCCTCTCGATTTTCCGTCTCTTCGACCTAGAATTACTCGGTTTGTCTACTGGGGACAACAGGTTCGATGTCTCGGGATTTATATTCCTTTGGCAATGCAGCATTTTATTTGGGGAAAAAATGTGTGTGATTGTCTGTGATTTATTTTATTTTATTTTATTTTTTATGAAAAGAGAGCATCAATAAAAGAAAATGTTTGAGGGTTACAATTTTTATGGTTATAATGGCTTAAAATTGTCAAAACGACGTCGTGTAAAACATGTCAAAACGACGTCGTTTTAACAGTTTTGAGCCATTATAGCCACAAAAATTGTGGCCATCTACCATTGTTGGTCAATAAATTAAAGATATCTACACGCCAATTTTAATTTATAAACTTATACTTTATTAAATTTTAATTAAAATTTTTTAATTTTTTAAATTTTATTAAAATTTTAATAGTCAAAATTACCTTTCAAATAATAATTATTCATTATTTATGATTATCTATGAAAGAATGTGATGATTTGACATTTATTTTGATTTTTAAAATTTTAAAATATCAACTTTTAAAATGAAAAAAAAATTTAAAAAATATGTGCAAAAAAAATAATGTTTTTTTAAAAAAAAATTGAAAAAAATGAATTTTTTTTGTGCAAAACTGAAAATTTTGTGTCTATAAAGGAGCATGATTATGGAACATTGATTTGCAAAACTGGAAAAATAAAAAAAATAAAAAAACTTTAAAAATAAAAAAATTGATAATGTTCTCAATTTTAAAACTAAAAAAAACTGATAATATTTTCGATTTTTTTAAATAGTTGAATTAAACCAACAAGTAAAAAGGTAAACACGTGTAATCTCATACTCTATTTTTTTTTATCAGATAGTGAAACAATTATCTAAAACATTATTACTCCCTCCGTCCCATAATATTAGTCCCTTATTCCATTTTTCATTGTCCCAAAATATTAGTCTCTCTTCAAAAATCAAGTACAAAAATAATATAAATTTCCTATTTTACCGTTCTTTTAAATTCATAAATAATATAAAAAGTACAATTATAACATTGATATTCCCAAAAAAATGTACTATCAAAGGATAATTTTGGAAAATCAACTTTTTTAAAGTACAATAATTGTACTATCAAAAAAAATTGAATTCCCTAAAAAGGACTAATATTATGGGACGGAGGGAGTATACAAAATTGATAACGCTCTTAATTTTAAAAATTAGAAAAAACTGATAATATTTTCAATTTTACTAAATAAGACTTATTGATTCAAATTTTTTTAGATAGAATCTAAACTATCATAACATTTGTAAACAAAATTTTTAGTTAATTAACTCATAAATTAAATCATAAGAAAATAATTGAAGAGAGTGTATATAGATGTAATTAATTGTACTTTATTATCATTATTATTATTATTATTATTATTATTATTATTTTCTTTCCTTTTTTATTTTTTTATTTTTGATCTCATATTCTTCCAATGATAAAAAAATCCTACGTAAGTCCATGTTAGTGCACATATTCCCAACTCCCAAGTCATTCAAGCTGCTATGAAAACAGAGGATTATGAGGATTGGGCACTAGCTGCAGTTTATGCCAGCCCAAATCCAGGCATACGTCAAAATCTCTACAATGATATGGAAAACTCTTCAAGCACCATGGTTTGGCCTTGGCTTATTGCAGGCAATCTCAATGATATCATGGGACAGAAGAGTTACTCCCAAAACAACCAGAATTATCGATGCAGAAAATTTCTTGATAACATTAACTACTATGGACTTATGGACATTAGTTGCACAAGGCCGAAATTTACTTGGTCCAACAATAGGCAGAAAAATGGCTAATACTATGGAAAGATTAGATCGCGCTCTCTGCAATGCGGAATGGAGAACCGTCTTTCTTGAAGGAGCAATCATAAACTTTTCTCGTACATATTCAGATCATTCACCTCTTATAGTCTGCACAGAGAGCATGTTTGTTTGGACAGACTAGATAATGAGGGATTGTAATCCATCGGACTGTTTTCTTGTAATACATTGTCCCTAGACTATTTGGTTGGACTGGATTTGTATCCTATGTTTGTTTAGTCATGGGATTAGATATTTGGATTTGACTATTCTATTAAATCGCATGTTTGTTTGGGATATTATGGAGAATGATAAATGCTCAAAAGACTATTTTGCCCTTTTGAATTATTTACTAAATAATAGGAATATTAAATTTGAATTATAAATTTTATTTAATTTTTTACTAGAACTTTTAAAAAATTTAATAAATAGAATATTAATAATAATTACATAAACTTATTTTAATTTGTAGTTGAGATTTTTTTAATTTTATGACTACTTTACTAAATATAATTAATATCATGAATGCACCAAATATGAAATTTTTTTAACTTCAAAGCAAACTCAACACCTGCACAAATGTAGGAACTTCATGTCAGAAATACAATAAAGTTAACTTTTTATTCTTATTTATTTATTGAGAAATAGAACAACATAATACAAACAACATGTTAGTCAAATCTCCTCATGAAAATAAAGCGGTAAGATAAAAGTTATCATTGAACACATAACCAAATATATAAAAAGCATCACAATTATAGTAAACAAAATACGGGTGCTTGTACACAAAAGAAGCTATAATTAAGTCTATCAACAAGTTTATAATAGACTTAACAAAAAGTATTCCCTACCATGCATATCAAATCATGCCCAAAAAGAAAGTACTCCCATGAAATGCAACAAGTTTATTATGGAGCATGCCTACTTAGCAACCTCTTCACTCACCTTAGCCTATTATCATGTGTCAAGCTGAAGAACATGTCAAGCTTTTGGACATCGTGGGATATGATTTCACAAGCATCTAACCTTTCATGTACAGTAATTGGCAACTTCGTAAGTTCATCGTTTAGTAATGCCCGTTTAGATGCAAAATCATGTGAATACCCCGTCCTTTTCCAACGAATTCTAACTTATCATTGGTTGTTCCCAAGACATCCACCAACTTGTCAACAAACATGGTTAGCCCTTCAACTACTTCATCATTGGCTTTAGGTCTTTCTTGTCTTTCTTTTTAGCAGAACTATCAGAAGGCCGTTGAGTTGCTAAGTTTGAATAGTCCACTGCTTCACCGGTCTGACTATTTAATCCTATTTGCTCCAGAAAAGTGTCATTATCTGCGAGGCCATGCAACAACACATCCCACATCTTCCTCAACATTCATAGCCTCAACTGCATCAACAGGGCCTTCAGCAAACTCTCATGTAGCTCGATCTTTGCCAAATATTTGAATCCATTCATCGAAATGTCAGAAAGTTTTGTTCCTAAGGTGTTTTACATTGTTGTCCCTCTACAATAACCAACTAATCCCAATTAATTTCTTCAACATAAGGTTAAAATACATATACAATAGTACGTAAATATGTAGCAAATTTTTGTTATGATCTGACAAATTGGTTTATAATACCAAGCATTGCAAATATTAATAACTAAAATGAGATAACTTTACCCGAACATATGCCTCACATACACTATCACTCTCCACGTCAATTCTTTTTTCAGTGTCATTCCATCCAAACCCACTAGTAACAAGCATACCAGACACAAAATCGTAATTTTTTTTTCCATATTTTAATCTTTGATTAGATATGGGGAGAGCCACGTAAATCTGTCCCAGTTAACAACTTTGCCATTTTATTCTCCAGTTTCATAAGATAGCCTGCCTTTGAAAGAATTGTAAACTTTTATTCCATCACTGACAATGAACAACAAGGCTGAATTTTGATGAATCAACCTTATCATTCTTTTTCTTATGAGAACTGGATACCCCATTATCTATGCCTACAGTAATAATTGAACATTTCGTACGCATTACCATAAAATATAAATAACTCACAAACATATATATCATAATACCAACCATTGCAAATATAATTCAACATCCACAATGTCAATTATTCATAAAAGTACATAGCAATGATACATCACAAATTTAAATGGTTTAACAACAAAGCAAAGTAGAAACACTAAGCTATCTTTATCTAGCCCCTCCATTAGCCAGCCACTTGTTTAAAAAGTGTGATTAAAAAGTAGTAGTGTATATATAATCACACTTTAATTAGAAGGTGTGATTAAAAAAATATATATATAATCACACTTAATTGAAAAGTGACATAAAAAATAAATATTATCACACTCAATCAAATTAAGTGTGATTAAAATATCAATCTAATTTTTTTTATCACACTTCCAATAAAAATGAGATCTTTTTTTTATCAAAGTGTGATCTTTAACTATTTTTGTAGTAGTGTGTGATAATTCGATTTGGGGTTCTAATGGAATAGTATGATGCATTGAGAAGTATAGCCCATCTCATTTTCAACATTCCAAAACACCTTTCTATGATATTCCTGGCTGATGCATGTTTCATGTTAAAATATTTTTGGTAATTATTTGGAGTTGCTTATTCTCTCCAAATAGACAAATGGTATCGCTAACCACGGTAAAGTGCTAGGAATCCTTTCCCATTCGTATACCCCGCATCCACTAGGTAATAGTAACATGTGCGTAGAATGTTATGCATTAGATTAAATTATTATTCATGAATTTAAGAAAAATTAAGTACTTTTGTATTACCATTTGGGATCCTTAATCCATTGGGTCGATCGATTGCATCTCTCAAAACCCTAGAGTCGGCCACTAACCCTTCCCACCTCAGCAACACATATATGAAATTCATGTCTTGGGAGCAAACTCCTAAAACATTAGTAACAATCTCTCCTTTTTTTGTCCTATATCTTGCTTGATGAACCATAGGTACACGAACTTTAATATAGGTGCCATCGATGCTCCAAGACAATTTTAAACAAGCCAATTGAATAGACATTATAATAGTTATGAATTTTTTTTTTTGGGTAAAAAAGATTTAATAAAAGAAATATATAAAAAAAAAAAGTAATGCAATGTTACCAAATTTTTACAAAATCCATTACCTGGAAGCAATTCCAACTTGGATTGGTGCTTGCTTCAATTGTAGGATTTGGTGTGTATAGCTCGCCTTTTTTGTGCCCTCTTTCGGAAGGTTGAAAGAAAGCCCTATAGTTCGGA